TCTTCACACCCAGCATACATTCTGTCACTGCTCTATGGCCTTCCATGTAATATAATTGATAGTTGTATCCTCAAGATTCCCTGTTTATCTCTGTGTAAATGCATACTTACATATACTCATAGCCACATATACATGCATGCATATTCTGACCAATATTATTAAACTGGAACCAGACATTTCAGGTTTTACCTTATTTTATTTTATTTTAATTTAATTTAATTTCGTTTTATTTTATTTTTTGCTTTGGAATAAATTTGTGGCTTCTTCATTGTGGCAGTTATACTGACTGATATTGTTGGTATGGTCAGTTGCAGGATGATCCCCTTCAATAATATGGCTTCACCTTCTAGAAAAGTGTGACAAATTACATTTGTTGTTTTCATTTGTTCATTCTACTTCCCTAGGCATTCTAGAAGCTAGTTTAACCATATTATTAGCCTACAAGATTTTGTGTGTGTGTATGTGCACGCCTTCAAGTCAGTGTTGATTCCTGGCAACTGCCTGGACAAGTCCCTGCAGTCTTCTTGGCAAGATTTTGGAAGTTGGTTTGCTCTTGCCTGCTTCCTAGGGCTGAGAGAGAGTGACTGGCCCAAGGTGACTCAGTTGTCTGTCTACCCAAGATGGGACTAGAACTCACATTTTCCCGTTTCTAGTCTGGTGCCTTAACCAATACACCAAACTGGCTCTCACCAGAAATATAAAATTATATATTTTAAAATATGTTGGTTGTATGTGTATTATAAGTAGCTTTGTTTATTCTAACCCATCCTTTCTCAGATTTGCATCCTCCAGGTATTTAGTCTATACCTTCTAAAAGTCTTATAGCCATGCTGGCTGGACATTCTTGGTAGTTGTAACTTAACACATGTGAAGGGTACTAAGCTTAGGAGGGGAGGGGGAGGGGAGGAAGATGAGTAGGAACCCAACAGAAAAAAGTGGTTACTCCAGCTGCATAAATGTGGAAGTAGAGGTGATAGGTGTTTTGGGAAACTACAAGCCAAAAGCAAATACAGTTAGTCCTCACTTGATGATGGTAATTGAGACTGGCAATTCTGTCGCTAAGCAATGCAGTTATAAAGCGTGATGTAATGTAACCACACTGATTTATGATGGCAGTTGTGGCAGTTCCAGTTGTGTCATTAAGCAAATCCTGCACAGAGGTTAAGCACAATGTCATGTGATCACCATTTGCAACCTCCTGTCAGATTTCCCATTGACTTTGCTTGTCAGAAACCAGCAGTGAAGGTCACAAATCGTGATCACCTGACCACGAGATTCTGCAACCATCGTAATTCCAAACTGGTTGCCAGGTGCCTGAATCGCAATCAGGTGACTGTGGGGATGCTGCAACAGCCACAACAAGAAGGACTGACCAGTCGTAAGTCTCCTTGTTCAGCACCATCATAACTTTGAACAATTGCTGAACCAGTGGTTGTTAAGCGAGGGCTACCGGTAACTTTGGTCAATAGGTCAAAAGGGGGATAATATCATTTAATATAATTTTATGCATTTTTACTCAGAAGATAATTCTATTAAGAAGTGTATATAGGAATAATGCCTTAGATACTTTCATATAATAAGCCAATGTGGAATGGGGGATGGCTAGCCCCATAGAGGCTTGCTGTCTTCAGTCCCAGATCCTTCTTGGGCTCTTTTTCTCTTTTTTAGTAATGTTTTTAAATTTTTATGTTTTATGTATTTATATGTATTTATGGTTTTAATGTTTTATGTGAATCGCCCAGAGTCCCCCACTGGGGGGAGATGGGCGGGGAGAAATTTAATAAATAAAACAAATAAATGTGCCATTTGGTGGCTATTAATAAGATAATAGGGATATCACTATTTAAACCCTTACTCAGTCTTAAAGCTTTACTTTATAGACATATGTGAGAATACAGAGCTTAAGTTCACATGTAATATCAAGCCACAATTTTTTTTTTCCAGTTTTGGCTTAGTGCAATGTAGAAATTCAGCATGATGGCTTATCATTATATGGAAATCATCTAGACTCTTCAAATCTAACAGGACCAACTCAAGCATACTGTCAACTCTCTGGAAGGTGAGCAGGGTACTAGGGTGATAAATGATCCTAAATGTCTGTTTCAGCCACTAAATACTTCTGACTTATCTATAGAATGAGTACTAATAAATTTGAGGACAAAATTTCAGTTGTAAAAGGGTGCTCAAGTTAAGCAGTGTACAACTGAATTTTCATTAAACACACACACACACACACACACAGAGTAGACTTACTTCAAAGCTCCCACATAACTATTTTCATTTATTCCCTCCCCACCCACTTCTCCCTATACATCTGAACAAGTGAGCTGTAATCCACAAAAATATATGCTCAAATAAATTATTTTTAATGATATCATAAGACCTTTCCTTCTCTTAGCCACTTCAAAGTACCTAGAGTAAATTAATCTCATTCAGTTTTGTGGGATTTACTCCCAAGGAAGTATGCAAAGGATTGTAGTGTGTTTTTTATGATGTGCTTAAAATTACCTTTCAGATGCTTCAACAGCAGCTTTCAGAAATATAGGAAGAACTCAAAAGCCTCCCACCCTTTCCTTACATTAACTCTGTTTGACCCGGTCTTCCTTTAAGGACCTATCATGGGATGAAAACAGCATCATATTTATAACATCTCCCAATACGATGGAAATCTCCTCCTTCCAAACTTCACAATAATAAAACACTCCCATCCACATTTTCTCTTGACACATTTATTCAGACAGAGCATGTTTGTCTTGCTAGTCTTCCAGTGATCTAAAAAAAATCAAGTAGATTTTACTGGAAAGGTCAAAGGAGGAAACAAGAAAGCAAAGGGATTTTAAAAAGTCTTGTATTGAGACTACAGTTGGATCATAGAAAGTGTGCATGGTTACAAAAGTCTCACTATAGTCCAAAGACCTTACAGTACTCTCTAGTACATAGAATTGCAGCCCAGATTGGTAGTACAGCTCATGAACACGTTGAGGCAGACTTCTATATAAACATGGAATCATACTGCATAAGTGTGAAGTCAAAAAAATTGGAAGTGACAATCAGATAATCCAAAACTTTTCTAAAAACAGTGGGATCCACTGTGCCTAACAGTTATGGTAGTTTTTAAGACTATCAAAGCCTTTTTTTTTTCTGGGGGGGAAAAAACCCTCAGTTACTATTCTGGAAAGTATAATTGTTTAAGTGAGGCCACTAAGATATTGACCCGCCTATACCCATGATGTCATGGGGCAGGAAGAGTTCAAATATACTTCTGCCAAGTACAGCAATCTGATAATGACTTATGTGAGTCTTCAACAAAAAGTTAGCCCTCTAATCCTTGAGCAATTCAGTTCTATACAAGTCTACTCACAAGTCAATGACAATTCGTTTGTTCAAATGGATTTACTTCTATTCCAGTAAAGTCTTTGAGTTATGATTTATTTTGACTATTTGGTAATGGGTTTAATTAGCTTCAGGGCCCAAGGGCTTCCTTACATGAATTCTTGGTCGGACTGTTATAACTTGTTTTTCTTCTTCGCTTGCAGCTGTAAGCCCTCCTCTAGCAACACATCATGTTCCTCAAAAGAGCTCTGGAATGGGAGCCTGGAGACCTTTTGAAATATCAAAAGCCTCAGAGGGCTCTTTTTTTCAAATTGCTGATTAGCATGAAATTAAAAACCAAGATTGCCACAGACATAACGGCAACATGTAAATGATTCCCACTCAAAGTTTATTCATAAATTGTACTATTAAAATCATAATGTTCAGCTTAAGTGGTTCACACAACAATAAAGCCCAACTCCCTATTTACATGAATTTCCTGAGACACAGTTCTTCACTTTCCTATCATCCCAGTTCTCTTTCCCTCAAAGGATGAAGGTGGGACATCTGGTTTAATTGGCAGACGCAGATTTTTTTTTCTCACTATATTCACACTGTTAATTTTTTCTCAGAATGAGAATTTCAGAGATTTAATAAATTAGTTGTCCATAACTGAAACCAGAAAGACTTTACTCTGACCCTGAAGATTACATTGCAAATCTGGAATTTTCATAAAAATTATCTTCTGATGAAGTTGCCTTTATTCCTTTAGCAATGCTTGTTATTCCCGGTGTGATGGAAATTGTCTCAAAACTACAATTCCATGTTTTACTGTGAACTATTCAAAATTAAAATAGAACTTTAAAAACGTACCCTCTAGACTATACCCTGGGCTATGTTGTTTGCATGTGTGCTTGTGCATTTTTAAAGAACCTAGTTGGAAACAAAACTGAAGCTGTTTAATGCATAACCAGAGGGGAACAAGGTGATGAAGCAAAAAAAAAAAGGGGGGGGTCCTTTGTTTTGGAATTGTGCTAATTACTACACTTTGCCTTGGTATATATCAATGCAATAAATAATCTAAATGCATTTATTTCTCTCCCAACTTTTAAATCACTGCCTGACCCCCAGAAACAAAAAGGAATCAAAACATAGCCCCTGATGGTTCCCCTACTAATGACTGTGTTTCCATACACGCACCTCAAAGAAGGAGCACTGGGAAGTCCTAGAGAAGTGAGTTATAGTCAGATTGAAAACCACAGGTTGGTTGGTTTGAAATTGCTTTAAAATCAGTGCAGAATAGATTCCACCCATGAGTTAGTCCCTATCTTTGGTTTTCTTTGTAGAATCCCCCACATCAGTCCAAGGGGGCTTCCATTTAAGTAAACAAATGTAATATCAGCCTGTAAATAATCTCAGCCAGGCCAGCAACAAAGTTTAGCAGCATATAGAAGCTGAAAGCAGCTTTCCCTGAAAATACATATAAATAAAATGTAAACAAGTTATCATATGCCTTTTATGCCTTGAATCAGTTCTGTGTAAAGCAGCAGGTTTTCATTCTATACAATGGACTTTTCCAAGGGTAGTGTAAAACTTAGTGCAATTATTTTCTTTTCTCCCTTGAATTCAAATATGCATGATTTCACACATTTCAGAGCTGTCTGATTTTGCTTTTGAAGTTTTGGAGTCTTTTCAGTATCGTGCATCTGTATCAATTCTCAGTGTTATCACAATGCCAGTATTATGGTGAAGTTTTGGTAGAAGGGGTCACAGAACACATCCCTGAATGTGTGGGACTCGATGCTGAAAGAGAGATTTGAGTAAGTACCCCAGGAATCACTATTCCTTCTCTTTCTCTTTTCTTCTGCTTCATCCTCCGATTTTGGAACCAGATTTTCACCTGAGTGTCATTGAGGCCCAGAGACTTTGCTATTTCCACACGCCGGGCTCTGGTGAGGTACTTATTGAAATGGAACTCTTTCTCCAATTCTGTCAGTTGCTTAGTGCTGAAATTGGTTCTTACCACACTAGGAGGACTGGAAGACCCATAAGCTGTGGGTTTACCTGAAAACAATAAGCACTGGTTGAGAAGACCAGATTGTTACGGAGACAGTCATAAAATATGCATGTTCCTTGAGTTAGATAATAAAGATTACACTTTAAAAAACTTTTCACATTTTTCTCTAGTTCAAAGTTATGCATGCATTGAGGCGGTGGAGGAAGCACACTATTTTTCCATCTGGATTAGATAAGAGGATCACAACCGAATGAAATATATTAAGTCCAGCCCATCTGGAGAGTCCCAGCATTGAAAGAGACTATTCTAATGACTTTCGTGAGGGGGTCAGCCTTAGAAGAACGGACCAGGGGCTCCTTGTACAATGAGAAAGCTACGTCAGGTATTCGCATTTGGCCAAGGTTCATGTTCAAACTCAGCAGCTACAATTCGGGCATCGGACGAACTGAGTACCACTGCCGTCTTTCAGGACAAACCCACCCACCGGGCACGCGCCGAAGAAGCCCCGCACTTACTTTTAGGGGGCGCGTTCCTCTTGACTTTCATCCACTCGAAAGTGCTGAGCGCCGCTTGGGCGCTGGACTTGGTGCAGAAGTCTGGCGGCGGGGTCCGCAGCGGCGCATCCTTGGGGCAAGGTTGAAAAGTCTCGGCGAGCGCGGTGTAATCCATTTGCAGGTACGCGCCCCCGCTGCCCGGGAAAATGGACGTGGCGTAACGCACCGGAGCGCTGTCCTCCGGGGCTGCGTAGGGCGCCTCGGGCCGGAGCAAGCTGAACTCGGCAGAGGAGAAAACGTTCGAGGGAAGCGCGCAGGGCGCCAGCTGTTGCGGCTGCGGCGCCTGGTGCTGCGGCGCCAAGCGCGTTGAGAAGTCAGGCAAGCTTCCCGCTGCAGGACCCGGGTAAGCGCCATCCCCGCCGGCTGACAGGGCACAGGGCGGCCGCAAAGCCACGCTGCCGGGCTCTGCGCCGCTAAACTTCCCGGCTAAATTCAAGCTGTCCCCGCCCCGCGCCAGGTACTCCAGGAAGGAGTTCATGGTTCCCCCTGAGGAAGAAGAGGACCGCTGAGGAGAAGGCACAGCGGCAGCAGGGCTGC